GTCCTCAGAGGAGGATGTCATTAGTGTCAGGTCACATCTGTGCTCCTGGAGCAAAGTGGATGCAGTTCAGATCCTGCCTGCAGAGACTGTGAGATGGTGAGGCTACTGAGGTTCTCGGAGGGTTAACCAGGTAATGGTGTATCATATCCCTTCAGAGGTGAAGGCCAAATGCAGCTGAGAGGCTGTTGACATAGGCACTGAACAGAAGAGACTTAGCCAAATCTGTGATAGCAGGAAATTTACCAGTTGTTAAGGGGACGGAGTCAGTAATTTTCATAATGTCGGGGACTGGGTATAAGGGTTTTATCTGTTGTGACTATAATCTCAAGGCTGCAGTAATCCACTGTGAGCTGTCACTAATTTTTTTCCAGATTAACCAACAGACCAAAGAGGCTGCTCAAAGGAGAAGTGCTGGGGACACTCACTTCTTCCTAATAGGTTTCTTACAATGGTTTTCAATAATTTAAAGTCCTGTTTAATTTACACTGGGCCATATTAACAAATTTCATTGTGGATAAGGTCTGCGGGGTATCATTTTGTCAAGGCAATTTGGAAGTAGTAAAGTCTCAATTTAATTTAAATTTATGAATCATGAGTTCAGAGCTTTCCAGCTCACCAAGGGATATTTTAGGACAATGGGTGATATGACTAAAAGGAATACAGGCAAGGTGAGAGTTCTGCTGGTTAATGTGAATATACCTATTTGTCCACTATGTTATTCAGAAATCCCCCAAGATGTTGAGGTAAATTGCTTAAATGTAGTGGGATCCCCAGGTATACCTGTAAGTTGACACCTAGTTTGATTAATTACATGAAGTTTTGTGAATTAGTGCATGGGAGATATTAATTCAAACCTATGCTGCCAGAGGATCAAAGGCCAAGCAGACACCTTTCTTTTTTGTTATGTAAATTCCCAGAGTATATTTTGGATTTGCAATTGGGTCAAATTGTGGACCTTTGTTTTAGTACCTTTTTCCTCTTCTTCTATCCCTTCTGTCTTTCTCATTTTGTATTTTAGGTCACTGGATATAGACAGGGGGCGGGGAGGGGGTTCTGTCTAACTTGGTATTCATTAAATTTACTCCTCCAGAAGGCGTCACATCATCGCATTCAAGGTTACAAGGCTCCTCCATGACCAATGGTTGCTTAATAGAGTTAAGTACCCTGGGCTTAAAGCAGTTTAAACTAACCCCTTGGCTGTGCCACAGGGAGGCCATGGGTGCTGTCCCCCATAACTCGAAGGGTCAGGATCTGTGTTGCACTAGAGGCAGGAGCAGTGGCAGCAGAGTTACTTAAGGGTCCCAGTGAGCCCTCTGGTCTTAGGAGAGTGGAATCAGCCCACTCTCTGAAAAACTGCTCCTGAAGGAGTGACCACCTGATGACTCCCCTCATTCACTGGCTACAATCATCCTCGTACTCCCAAGGCCCCCTTTAACGTTGGGAGGACCCCAGACTCAGTCACATCTTCACTCTAAACGCACAGCAGGATTCCAGCTAAGATAGTGACCTAAGACCAATTTAAGGAGGGCCCCATTCCCATACTCCTGCTCACCAAGAATGAGGAATGACTAAAACTGTCAATCCGGTGTCCTCGGTATACAGACCCCAGGCTCGGTGGGTCCACAACACAGCACGGAGCAGCACAGCCCACAGGAGGGCTCCCCAGCAAGCAGTAGCCTCCAGGCTTTCTTAACGGCCTGTCTACATAAAGACTAGGAAGAAAAGGAGGGATATGGCTTAAGCTTTCAGTAGTCAAACATCAAATATGTGGAGCCTGAACACTCATGATAAGAACAAACATGGGTAAGAAAAAATAGACATTTGCATGGTTTATTTTTATGTAAAGAAACACTAATAAAATATCAATAAGTGATCGAACCTAGTTATTTGAGGGTGGATGGGGTTAGAGCACAGGAGTGAAGCAAGATATGTAGGCAGGGTGTCTTTTGAATTTAGTTTCCTGTCTTAGGAATTTTTTAACCGGCCCATTCATTATGTACTTAAAATAAGAACAGAAATTTATATACACCATATTTTCCTATGCTTACTCATTATTTTTTATTCACTTTTACTTTTTAAAATTAATTTAAACTTTTCTACATAAGAAACCACTCCAAGATTTAATCCTTTAAACACTAGTGGATATAAAACCAGAGGACATATTTACAAATCTCTTTCTAAAAAGGACAAGGGGCAAAACAGTTTGTCTCTCCACTATATATCACATTGGAGATGTTTTCAGGAATGAATAGCATATTATAATGTATTAGGAGTTTGCAATTAAGCCTTGAAAAGACCAGGAATTACACAGATTTACACAAGCTTTGAGTTGTTTTCCTCACATCAATAAAAATAAAAATTCGATTACTTTTTCCTCACAGGCATTAAAAAAGTTAGGAGTCGTATAGCCTTTTAATGGCAAAGTAGTCTAGGGAGAAGCAAATTCATGACCTACAAATGGAAAAAGCACATGAGAACTTAAATACATCCATTTCACATCTTGAGGTTTTCCTGCCTAATTAAACAAAAATTCTATTTGATTACACAATTATCT